CTCAGGASAGTGGGCGGGGCAATAAAACTCAACTCCCCGTGCTTTCCAGCCACCTGCTAAGGCCACCTCTGTTCTAGGGCTGTGGGTGTCAGCGCTGTGCAAGGCAAAATTCCAGCCTCTGCTTCTGTCTAATAAAAATAAAAAGTCTATAAACCACAGCTTTTAAACCAGCACAGMAAGCCTCAAAGGTCAGCGAGGCAGCCCATCTGAACAAAAGCAAGTCGGGAAAAGGAGGGACAAGCCCCAGGAAACACACACCTAGGTTTACTGAACTAAGGAGGAGGTATGGAACCGTCACCGGAGACTCAGACCTTGTCCCCCATGCCAATCCAAGAATGGGGACACGATTGAGAAAAAGGAAAAAGAAGTTTTAACTGCTGTGTTAGCAAAGAGGGACACGGRGGACTCCTGTCCCAGAGCTGTGACTGTTCCTGTCAGGGAGCTTTGAAAGAGGGGCCTTAAAGGCTGTGTTCCAGGGTGCCCTGTCAGGGGTCGTCATCTTCTAGGCCCTGAGGGAGAGCCGCTTCTTGCATCTTCCAGCGCCTTCCCGAAGTTTGAGTTACTTCACTGCTGTGGTGGATATGTGCTCAAGGACAGATAACTCGGCCTAGGATGGCAGGAAGGGTAATCTTGCTTCCCCCAAGGGTAGGGAGGGGAGAGAGGAAGAAGGGGGAAAAACCAAGTCAGTTTCAAAATAAGTTGCAATGGCAGAGCAGTAAGGGTGCTTCAAAGCATAAAGTGGACCCTGTTATAGAACTTACTAGGTTTTCATTACTGTAACAAAATATCTAAGGAGGACTTCATATGAAGAAAAGGAGGTTGATTTAGCTCACAGTTTTGCAGGGTCACTGCCAAGATCAGGTGGAGCTCGGTGTAGGTTGGACAGCATGGGCTTGGCCTCTGTGAGGGCTATGGATGGTGGCACCCCTGGGCAGGAGGGTGTATTAGAAATACAAAAGCAATTCTATCTCAGACAGAAGCAGAGAAGGTGGGAGGGGCCAGGCTTGCTCCTTTTATAACAACCATCTCAGGAGAATTACCCAAGGGTCACAGGAGAGCAACCTCACATCCCCAGAGCTCTAAGGACCTCCCATGAGGTCCCCCCTCTTGAAAGTCCCACCACTGTCCTCAGCACCACCTGGGGACCTAGTTCCCAGAGCATGAACTTTTGGAGGAACATAACCATTCAAACCATCCCMGTAACTTAAGGTAAATAAATATGATATTCAGATCTTACTTTATATTAACAGTTTTAAATTTAACTGAAAAACAAAGTTATTTAATATTTACTATGTCATTCTCTCATAATTCCTTGCTGCTTCAGCATAACATTTTCTTCTGAAACAACACTCTTTCAGGCTCTATTTTTTCACCGTAATGTGTGGAAACCAGGGCAGGGAGGGGCTTTTGCAGGTTAACTTTGGAACAGAGCAGACCCTAGACATGGGCTTTCTTCAGTGAGAATAAAATCATTGTTAAAGGCTCTCGCAGAGAACGCCCTCCGAGATGTGCATACAGTCTGCTCTGAGCATCTGTCCTATTTAGTCTTCAAAATCATTTTGTACCATGGCTTCATACTTTCAACTCATAGCCCTATCAAAAACCAGTTATGAGCTGGGACAGTGGCACACACCTGTAATCCCAGCGGCTTGGGAGGCTAAGGCAGGAGGATCACGACTTTAAAGCCAAACTCAGCAAAAGTGAGGTGCTAAGCAACTCAGTGAGACCCTGTCTCTACATAAAATACAAAACAGGGCTGGGGATGTGGCTCAGTGGTGGAGTGCCTTTGACCTCAATCTCTGCTACCCACCCCCCCAAAAATAAATTATGAAAGGTAAGCCAAGTAATGAAAATTTATTTTCACAAAGTTTGAAATGAGAGACATTTTTCGGATTCAGTTTTCAAAAACACAGTTTTAGAGAATGAATTTCAGGTGACCATAACGCATGTAGGAAAGGGGACCAGATTATTCCTCAACAAAGCTTCTTTTGGTCAGGACTGAGAGGAGCAAGTGACTGCTCAGGCACATGGCTGTCTCTGGCTCACGGGGTTGAGACTCACTGTTTCTCAATTTGGTGATGGAKGGTGCGAACCTGTGCACACTCGGTAGAAGCCAGGGTTCAGGCTGCTTAGTTTGGCAGTACTGGGGAGAACAAGGGCCCTGTGCAGGCTGGGCATGCTCTCTACCGCCAAGCTCTGTCCCCTGCTCCTGTACTTCAGATGTTGAAGTTCGATCTTTCCCTGGCCAGCAGTGTGCCGGCCGTGCTCTCATGGTGGTGGCTCAGCCCCTGGAGAAACACCTAGTTGCAAAGGAAAAGGACCAGTGCTCTGCCCTGGACCATGCAGCTGAGCTGAGGTTTGGCAAGTCAGATGTACCGAATGYCTTTTTGATATTTTCATGTTGTGCTGGATTTTTCAGGACATAACCCCATTGTAAGTCGAGGAGCACCTACACTTGATAATGTCCCTGCAGGAAAATACCCAGAATATCCAGTCCAGTTGTAACATGGCAAGCAGAGCAGATGGAGCCTGGTCTTCACGGCTCCATGGAGACAGGACTCTTCCTTTGAGAGCACGAGCAGTTTAAAAGCCTCTTCAGCAGCTGCAGGTCAAGTCAGCAGATTCATTCAGCAAACACTGACCTGATTTTGCCTGAAGACAGAAGAATAGCCGATTTGTGGCATTAATTACTGCATCCGTAGCTTGTCCCATTTTTTTGCTCTTTAGCTCAAAGCAATTCCTGATGCATAAAAAAGTTAATGGACTTGGGTAGAGAGTCCAACAAAATGTGCCTCTTTGGTCCATGGCAACCTGCCCTTGCCAGGCCCGTCCATGGTGACACATGGTGACTTTCCCAGTGTGTTCTGCTCCTGAACAGTCTACAACCTTTTCATCAGAGTAAGCCACTTATTGAGGCTCTGCCTTTCATAAGCTCCTTGTCCACAAATTCTTGGACCTTTTCAAAACTCTCACCACACCACATAGCTGTGTGTGGTCCTTTATATCTACCTTCTTATTTGCTGCTCTAAAAAATGCCACCAATAACTTAACTTATCCTGAAAGTTCTCAATTTATTTATATTTTTAACATGCCKAGCCACAAAGATGCTGGTTATACTAACATCTGCAAATGCCTGTTTATACTCTGCACACAATTTCTGCAGAATTCCAAAGAGGCTCTTTTATGAACGAGTTTTCTGTAAAAAGGTTTTGACGCCCAGGCAATTTTTTCATTTAATAGACAGCCGCATTTCACAGCAGTGCGCTTATTTTATTCTCATTCAAAAACAAACAACAGCCATTTCTTCAGTCCATTAAGTCCTCAGATCCCATCCCTCCTGTGCACCACTCACGGCTGGCTTGATTGTGGTGCTTTAGGACATAGTTTTTCTATGCAGACGTTCTTTGTTTGGATGATTTTCTCCTCCACCAGAAAAAAAGGGCTCTCGTATTAGTTCATTAAATGCTTAGCTCTGCTTTTTAGATCCACAGGTTCATTTTCCTCTTAATTTTACAGTAAGAAAAATGGTGGTCTACCTATGGTCTACATTTCCTCTTTTGCTCCAGGTTCATGACTGCCAGTGTACAAGAACCCTTCTTGTACACTGATTTTGGTGTTGGGAAAACGATGGGAAGACATAATGGGGGCTCCGATGGGGAGCATGCCAGCCTCGTGGGGACACAGATCCTCTGCTGTCCAGAGAAGCTGGGAATCAAAAGTTTAAGAAAAGTCTCCTAAGTATTTAAACCTTGGTGACTCACTCAAGGTTTATTAAAATGCCAAGTGGGTCAYTCCATCTAGTCAAGCCTTGTAACTGAGTGTGGTTTCTGGCTGCCCATTTGCAACCTCTGGGGCTGCAGAGTTTAGTGGCAAAATCATTTTATACCCTACCTTTGTTTGGGTCCCCTGAGGACAAAGAGGGAAAGGTGTGATCGGGTCAACACACTTCTGAGGAGCATTGTGATTAAGGGGCGGGGGGGGGGGTCTTCTAATGGGGCCTGTGGGTGATGACAGCGTTCTGAAGCCAGGTGTGTCTGGGTGGCCTGGCTAACTCACAGACGAGGGCTGGTTCATGTTGGGTTCCCCACATGGAAATGTGGACAATAAGCCTGCCTTGTGGAGTGTGTCAAAAGGAGCAGAGAAGCATCTCCTAGCACACGGCCTGGTATTTGAAAGGTGTTCTGTGCTATAGCAATGACCACTGTTATGAAATGTAAAAAGTTCACAGCAGTCCCCACAGGTCACCAAACAGCCACCTGCCAGCCCTTCCCCCACCACCCTGGATCTGTCAGTCGGRGCATTGAGAACCTCCACCTCCTGGATGGAGGGGGCAGACTGGTGTGGCAGAGCCTGCTCAGAGGCGTCTGCCTCTCTCCAAAGAAGGCTCTGCCTCCCTGCCCTGCCCTCCCCACGCTCACCCCTGCTGTACCTCTGCCCCACCCAAGCTGGGGGAGAGTTCCATTCAGGAGGAGCAGGTCATACAGAGAAGGTGCAGAGTGACCCCTTCTGGGCCATGTAAGTGAAGACCAGAAAGACATCAGAGGGGTTCCTTCAGAAAGCYGACAGGGAAGACAGAGCCCCGCATTGGAGGTAAAGCAGGGCAGACGCGTAATCCAAGGTCTCACCTTCACCCTCAGGTGGCKTTGAGCCAAGCAAAAGCAAGAATGGGTGTGTGGCCAGGGTGGGCGTGACAGCAGGGTTCTTGTACAGTGGCAGTCATGAACCTGGAGCAAAAGAGGAAACGTCATTGAGGACAGGGCTGCCATGAGCACCTGGGGTGAAGAAAAGGACCCCCTCCCCTGGGGCTTGCAGGTCCCTCTGACACCCAGTGAGAGGAGAGACCAGACAGCAGTCCACATGCACCTGCGTGCACCCTCACCCCGGCACCCTGAGAACTCCCCGTGCAACTCCTCCCCGAGATAGCCCCGCCATGGGGTTTCCTCTCATGTACACTATTAGAAATGTTTAGGAATAATGTGCCAATATTTAATCTTTTCTAGGAACATGGGTGACATTTGGAGGTCAGATTTCAGATGAGGTAAGTTAATTTTCGCATCTACTATGCTGATGAAAGGAAAATGCAGAGGGCCGTGCAATGGGAAGGCTGCTCCTGGGACCCCGACATTTTACAGGGTTGATGCTCAGAGCCCAGGAAATGGTGAAGACTCAATTTCATCTTGCTTCTTGTGTGTACATTCGGCCTATTAATAGTCCTTGAGATTGTCAATCTATTAAACATGCAGGCTCAACAGAAAGTGAGACAGTTTAGAATTAATATTAGTTTATGAAAAGACTTCACTGCTGTCGTTGCGTGTGTTTTATTGATTTATTCCTTTCCTGTTTCAACTAGGGTTACCCATTGGCCCCAGTCTGCACACGTTTCTCAGTTTTAGCACTGAAAGATCACATCACAGAAAGGCTCTAAGTCCTGAGCAAACCAGGCAATTGGTCACCYTGGTGTGGGCAAGATAACCAACCTCTCTATCCACTCTACAGAGAATGGGACAGTGATGCTGGAAGTCCAAGGAAAGGACTAGCACATCATGCCCATCAGACGCTTGCTTAACCTCTGACTGGTAGGGAATGGCACTCAGCCAAGGGCAGCTATAGGAATTGTATTTACTGTAAAGTTCCTTTAGCTCATCATTTACACATTCAGAACAGTGCTTACCAAGGTGATGTTATTATCATTGGCTTCGGGGCATGAGGTATACAGGCATTGAGTGGCAAAAATTCCTCCTGAGTTCAACACCTTAGTGTGTTTCTGGTCCTTCCTTACCTACCTGCAACAACATTGAGGAGTCAGGATAGTATATACCTGCAGGACCACTGAGGAGTCGGGATAGTATATACCTGAACAATACCAACGAGTCAGGATAGTATATACTTGCAATACCAGCAAGGAGTCAAGATAGATATACCTGCAGGATCACTGAGGAGTYGGGATAGTATATATCCACAAGAACACTGAGGTGTGGGGATAGCCTATGTACACCTGCAGGGCCATCAAAGAATCAGAGATAGTATATCTGAGTGGATACACTCAGTGGGACCAGGTCCTACTCTGCATTGACTAACTTGAGTTACTAACTTTTACATTTACCAACAGCTGTCACTAGATGCCCCATTCTCAGCAGGATCTGGTTAGGATTAATGAGAGGTGTCTCAAAGTGCTTAGGCAGCCACCTGGCCAAGAGAAGCCCTTTGCAGAGGCAGTTTTAYATCCATGTTGTTCCTAAGGAGGAGCTTTGGGAACAGGGACCTCTCCCCACAGCTCCCAAAGTCACTAGTGTAATTTAACAGATCTGGGGAGTCTCAGCTGCACGTTCTTATCTGACTGCCGGCTCCCAGTACTGGGCTCAGATCTCCATGGAGGGCTTGAATCATGGAGTCCCTAGGAAGTGGGCTCTAAGTTAGCAATGACCTGCAGGACAGCTGCCTAAATGTTCTGGGGACCCACTCAGGGCAGGGGAGGAAGCAGGATGGGGGAAGCACAGAGGGGATGGATCGACAGTGGCTAGCCAACCCCACGAGCTGAGCCAGTCAACAGAGTTGTCCCAGGCTGGGGCGAGAGGACTGGGCCTTTTTGTCCCTGTACCAACAGGCAAGTGGACGGAGGCTGACTGGAAACAGGCCTGACCTTGGGCAAGGTGGCTCACACCTAGTACAATTTTAAGAGAAGGCTGACCATTGAAGTGCTCCAGCGTCAGGGAATGATCCCGTCTTTCCTGAAGGAGGRCCTGAGGACACATGGCAGAGTCTGCTGCAGGTCCCAGGGTGGCAGCGAGCAGGGAGGGAGGTCTGAAGTGAGCAATTGGCTGTCTCCAGTCTCTACTGTCCCCTTCACAGGGCCTGCTGTCTGCTGTCAGGGCCCCAGCTCCCCAGGCCAGGGCGTGCAGGGCTGAGCCCAGGGCTGAGATCTTCAGATGCTGTGGCTGGGACGTCCCTCCACATCACTAAGCCAAGAATTCTCTTTCTTATCTTAAAATTCCTCTTTAGATAAGTCGTGCATTTCCCAAGAATCCACCAGTACATCAGGTGATACAGTACAAGGGTAAACAGACAGCAAGCGCGGTAATTTCTAAAACATAGGGCAGTCATAATGGGAAAAACCGTAGTTGTTAACTTCTAACCTCCAGTCATTTTAAGTACAGTGACAAGTTACAATCAGTAGTAGCACATTTGTTGCTGTTGTGCTGAAGGATCTGTGTGGATTCCACTTTGCTAGCATAACAATCTGCCTGTAGGCCAATTTTCAAAACAGCAGAAAAACAGTTTATCTTGGAAATTCTGATAAAGCAACTGGAGCCCACCATCCAAAGCCGAAATGGAAAAATCAGTTGTAATCATCCCTAGGTGCRAAATTCCTCCAAAGACTGACACGTCAATCAATCGGCAAAATGAAAGCGTGTCCCCTCTCGACTGTGGGGTGCCACCTCACTTCTGCAGCTGTCCCTGAGCTGTGTCTAGCTGTCCCTCTGCTCCCCTGTGCCCTTGCCACTGTGGTCAGTGGCACAGAGGACGCAGGAGCTCCACATGTCCTGCAGGCTGGGCAGTGGGGAGCTGACCCCAAGTCAGACATGGCTCCTTCTCTCCGTGTCCACTCAGCAGGCTTCGTAGGCTGCCTGGGGCTTGGCTGAACTTGGGTGTGGGAGTTTGATTAGTCATGCCCCTGTCGGACCTTTGGTTCATCAGTCAATTCCACTGAGCCTCCAGGGAGAAAGTCACAAGATTTCAGATCAGGAGGCATCAGCTGCCAAAAGCTATGGGCTCCGAGAGAGCAGTTGAGGACTGGAGTGGACAGTGGTGCACGTGACCCTCTTTGTCAGAGATCAGACCACAGAGATGTTGTGGTACCAGGTCTGCCCAGCAGAGGGGGAAGCACAGATGTACCCACCTGGCTGGGCTCCCAGCCCGCTTGAGGACACTGCCCACTCCACCTCTGAGGGCCGTCCCTCATGTCGCCCATGCCCGGGGCTGCTTTTATTCTCTTTCCAACTGAGAATGACAGGTGGTGGGTGAGACGCCAGGGTGCTCCTAGTGAAGGATCTCAAGCTGCTTCTCAGGTTTGGAAAACGCTGGGCGCTCCTCACTGGCCTCTGTGTCCCCTTGCAGGTCGCTGAACGGCTGATGACCATCGCGTACGAGAGTGGCGTTAATCTCTTCGATACGGCCGAGGTCTATGCAGCTGGAAAGTAAGTTGGTACCTGTCTGTGTCCCTCAAGGGCATCCGTGGCACCCAGAGAGCCTGCCCAGGCCTTTTCTAGGTGCTGGTGAGGAGGGCGCTGCTCTCTACACTGGGGTTGGGAAGTTGACCACCCCTGGACCTCTTGCCCACCCAAACCATCCCTGTGTGGAAAACTGACCTGATGGAAGGTGGACAGTCAGCACCTGCTGTGGTCTACAAAGGGGCAGAGGTGGCTGGGCACCTGAGTGGTGGTGGTGGAGATCAGGGGATGGTAGTAGAATAGTTGAGCCAGGAAGTGAAAAAGCCGAGTCCSAAGGCTGTTTCCAAAGCTGGCCTCGACGCCACGTCTCCTGATTCGGAAGTCCCCAGGGAAGCTGGGACACCCTGCCTGCCTGGCAGCAGGGATGCCCTTCYTGTTTGCAGGCCTGGGCTACACTGGCACACCAGGCAAGTCAGACTTCAAAGCCAGACTCCCCAAAGATGCCAAGAAACCAACGCCTTGTGCAAGAGGCTTCTCAGAGCTGCAGACAAGGCTACAGAGAGCCTCTTCTTTTAAGCAGCCAGACTAGTGGGGTTCCCTGGGGCTCTGGGGCAGGGCTTGAGAAGTTGGAACAGATGGGTGGCGTGCCCACAGGCCAGGCCTCCAGGTTCCAGCGTAACCAGCACATGTCAGAACAGACCKGGGGCCTGGGCCTCCTGGAGTGGACACCATGTTCGGCTCCCACAGCCAAAGAAAGGAAATCCTCAGTGTGAGCAGCTCTGTCATCCTGAGAGGACTCGGGGGCGTGGTCTCCTGCAGCCTCATTCCCTGCCCTGGGGAGGGTTAGGCCACCTGCGGGGCTCCTGAGTCAGGCTMCGATCACAGCTCTGAGCACTTTCCSTGCTTGGTCACCTCCTGTCCAAGGACAGGTCTATGTTCAAGGACCCTCAGGGAGATTCAGAGCCCACATCCCTGCTGTTTTCTGTTGAAACCAAGGAGAGAACAAAGTGGTAAGGCCATACTCCCTCCTGCATCCCCTTCCCAGTGTTTTCTTCTTGGGCAGGAGAGGGTCCCGCCTGCCCCCTGCTGTGAGGGATGGTCATTCTGATTCATACTGATTGACTCTCAGTGTGGAGCTCAGAGAGGGTCGTGCTATGCTGCGTCTTGTCAGGCTGCCACAGCAGGTGGGGAAGGCAGACAGGAGAAATGAAGAGACAGGGATGACGGTCAGGGATCCTTAGCTGACCTGCAGCACAATTCAGTGCAGGCTGTGTCCACTACAGAACTGAGCTTGCAGCCAAGGCAGGTAGCTTGCATGGCTCCCTCTGTAGCCTGCTGAGGGGCCCATGCTAACCCCACCCACCTGGCTTCACAACATCCTGCACAGGGGGTCTTATTGGGAAGAGCAGGGAAGCAAATTTTCATTACCTTGGTCTTGGTYCCAGGTCAGCGAGAAGGGAGGGCAGTGTGGTGTCTCCAGGGCACCTCTCCACAGCCCAGCCTTGGGGACAGAACAGATACTTGTCATGTCTCCTTATATGTKGCTCACAAGACAGTTTGCCTGGGACCCAGGACACTCTCATGTGAGCCACTGCACCTGCAGCCTGGCCTTGGGGACAGCTAAGCTCATATGAGGGTTTGCTTTATCCTCCAAAGCCACCAGGGAGCCAGCATTGCCTGTCTAGGCCATCTAAAATGAGGTGTCCATGTCCTCCTGGCCACAACTGATGTTCTACAGCAGTTAGGGGAAAGCCCTGCCTCCCCCTGGACATTGCCAAGCAGGACATTTATGCATGCTCTCTGGCTGAAAAAACGCCTAACTGCCAAGTGGCTCCAGTGTTCTTTAGCACCGGGCTGATTTGGCAGGTGCCTCTGGAATGCTCTGGAGCAGGATTCTGCAGGTGCAGGCAGAAACAGTGGAGCTGCGCTTCCAGCCAAGAGCAGCTACTATCTGGGGGACATGGAGGCACTGGGTGGCTCTGGTGTTGGGTTGGTGCTTGTTCCTCCAGGATCCTGAGCCCTAAGACATCATCTGTTTCCCTCCAGGGCTGAGGTCATCCTGGGCAGCATCATCAAGAAGAAAGGCTGGAGGTACCGTGTTTTCTGTAACTGTTTGTTTGCCTTTTAAAATACCTATTATTTTTGTGCCACAGAAGGGAAAATAAAATCATATGCCACCTGATCAAAAGGCTGTCAAATAAAACAAATCAACCCTCAGTAAAGAAATGATTTACAGTGGCTTGAAAATAAAAGCCAACAAGTTCATTACTTGTGCCTCAAAAATGATGGAATAGTTATTGATCACCATGAATTACTGGGGTTGGCAGGGAAAGAGGGCTGCTTAAGAGACATTGGTGCCTGAAAGAAAGTGACAAGTTCGTGCCTTTGCCATTTGTGGTCTGGTGAAGGAGGCGAGCTGCAGGCAGCTGACTGTGTGCACACTCAGATTCGTGTTCACCGGTCATTTTAGTAGCGACTGCAGCTCCAGGGAAGGAATGAAACAAGAAGCCCTTGGGGTCGGTCCCCAAGCCTCTTACCTGAACCCATCAGCCAGCAGCTTCCCTGTGCCCGGGAACCCCATCAGCTCCAGGGTATCCAGGAAACTGCTTCYTCTGCTACCCCTCCAAGAAGCACAAAGCACTGTGCATACCCGTCCCATCCCGCCACCTCTGGAGCCATGGCGTCTTCGGGGGAGGGGACAACCCCCTCCACTTCTCCATGGTGTCTCAGCAGCCACTTCTTGCCCAACATGAGCACAGAACCAGCAAAGACTGCTGGGCAAGTCAGGGGTCCTGCTCTGCTCTGGAAGAAGGTCCAGTGGCGACCAAGTAAATGAGAATGTCCTAGGGCCAGCGAAGAAAAGTACGCAGCTCGGTACTCACACAGGTGCTTCTAAGGGAGTCCAGGAAACATAGACACCCAACACCCGCAGCTCAGCCCTGGCTTTGTCSTGCCTCTGCATGCATGGGTTAAACCCCTCTGGGAGGAGAGGCCACAGCGGAGATCACCTGAGTTCTTAGGGCGGTGTACACTGCACTCCGAGGTAAACGTCTGGCAGGCAGAAAGAGCCTTATTGATGTGGAAGCCAGGCGCCTGTGGAGACCTGAACAAGAAAGCCATGGCCTTTTTTCACTCTCCCTTCTCCTCTCTGCCACCCCAGGGGACTGTGAGGGTGGTAAGAGAGAACTGTTCTTCCCCTCACACCCCAGTCCTTCACCTGGGCTCCAGTATTAYCTTGTCCCCCTCAGAGTGACGTGGCTCCATCCCTGCCTGACAGGGCCTGCAGCTGTTCCCTAGCGCTGCTGCTGCAACAAAGCCCCATGAATTGTGTGGCTAACACAACAGAAATTAACTTTTGCCCAATTCTGGAGGCTGGAATTCCAAAATCAAGATGCTCCCCCTGAAATTTAGGTGAAACCCTTCTCCTCCTTCCCAGCTCCTGGGGGGGGATCCTTGGCTTGTAGGCAGCACTTTAGCCTCGGCCTCCTCACCACACAGCTCCTTCCTGTGTCTGTCTTCCTCTAAGGACAGCAGTCACATCAGCTCTGGGGTCCACCCCACTCCAATATGACCTTACCTCAACCCAATTAATTACATTTACAATGACCCTGTTTCCAAATAAGCTCACCCACTCTGAGGTGCTGGGGGTTAGGAATTTAACATGTTTTTTTTGGAGGGGACATAAAAACTGCACCTATAACAAAACCCTTAGAGCACTGAGCGTGGTGGCGCACACCTGTAATCCCAGCCACTTGGGAGGCTGAGGCAGGAGGATCACAAGTTTGAAGCCTAAGCAACTTAGTGAGACTCTGACTCAGAATAAAAAAGGCTGGAGATGTGGCTCAGGGGTTAGGTGTCCCTGGGTTCAGTCCCTGATACAAAAAAAAAAAAAAAAAACCTTGGCGCCAAGCCCACCAGTAGTGCAGTGAAGCTCCAGAGTACACCTGAGGACGAAGAGGGGGCACCTCCCATGTACTCCACTCCTCCCCCTGGGCACCCTGAGCCACCCCTCTCCAGGGCTGCAGAACCTCTTACATGCACCCTTTGAAAACCAGACTCACATGCATATTTCATAAGCTTCCCTTCAGCCTTGCAAACAAAACCAGGAGCTCCTACCACGTTGCAAAAAGCTTGATTCAGTTCATGGTTGCCCTCCCGAGACTGGGAAAAGATGAGCCTGTCATCTCAGCACTGACCCTGTAAAGCAGCTTCACCAGGGACACCTGGCCTCTCACCCCTGAGCTGCTGCTTGCTGGCTGTGTGATCCAGGGCAAGTTGCTTCACTTCTCTGATTCTCAATTTCCCCACCTATAAAATGRGCAGCGTTACTGTGGATGACCTGTYGTGCTRACAAAGTGAGAGAAGGTGGGCAGAAGCCTTTTGCAGGCTGCKTTGCCTCACCAGCTCATTCTCATTCTGCACCCACTCTCAAGAGCTGCTCTCATGGCTTCCACAAGAGTCAGAGATGATTTGGCGGGCTGCTGCAGTCTTCTCTGGTTGTTGAGCATCATGTTAGTGTGCACACGCATAGAGGCCAAAGCCTCACCGTAGGCAGGTAAGTCTACGTTGGTGTTGTGATAGAACCAGAAGCTTTGGCAGGCCCCACTGCTCTGAGAAACTGAAAGGTCTGGTTCATTTTTTATCATACCCCATGCAGCCTTGTTGGAAGGTGGAAAGGGCTTGCTGGAGGAGACCCTTTCCCCTGTGGCAGGTTGCTATTAGGGTATACACCGGGGCTGGTACATTAGCCTGGAATCTACGTAGGCCCTCTGGGCTGTGTCATCTCCAGGAGCATGTGTTTGTAGWGCTTCCGTTACTGTGACTTACAGAATTTTTTTTAGGGATTCAACTTCAGTGAGATGGGGTTGCTGACATGTTCAACAGATTTTTCTTGTTGCAAGTGGGTTGTCAGAACTGTCACCGTCTTTCCCCAGTGGTTGTCATTAACCATGCCAGGCTGTTATCCTGAGAGCCTTGAGGGTCCACCCTACAGCCCACGGGATTATAAGCGCTTGACTTCAAATACTTCTAAAGTTTGGTCTTAACCTTCAAATCTCAAATGATTTTTGCCCCAGAGCAGCTCAAACAGATCACACASCCAGAGAGTGTGGATGACACTGAGATCTGCCCCCACTCTTCATTCTGTGGGGGCAGTGCTCAGACCTCGGAGTCTTTGTCACCCTCAGGTGTGCCGTGGAGGAGGTAACCAAGGAGCTGACAAGATGTCTGTATTTCCTTCCCTTGGAGGTTAAGTGGCAGAGCCTTGAGTAAAKGATTTTAGGACTGTTTTCCTAAAATAGCATTTCCATTGAATAAAACACTCAAAGAAAGTATTGACTGTTGGACTTGACCTTGTCACTCATATTGCTGTATGGTCTGCTGCAGCCTGTGCATGATGGTTGGGAGGATAACACCTGGGAGTCTTGGGCCCATGGTCCTCAGTACAGGGTGGACTTCCTCCTGGGCAAGTTCACGGGCAATAGCACTGTGCCAGATGCCCATGAGTGTCTGCTCATTCRTGTTCTAAGGCCAATCACCCAGAAGTCCACTCGCTTCCCTTCCCGCTCTGGCGGCTGGCCCTCCAGCTGACCTCCAGGCACCTGAACTGCCACTGCCCTCCTCCTACTCCATCCCTGTCCTCTGGGGCCYGACTTTCTCCTTACATTTCATTGGTATGAATTAGCTAATTTAACTCCTTAGCAATGTTTTGTGAGGCACAATAACAACTTCTTTCTGGTACGATGATAACAACATGCCCACAGCGTGTTTAMGGTTTCTCTGTGTCTGTTTGCTGTGCAGGAGGTCCAGCCTGGTCATCACGACCAAACTCTACTGGGGTGGAAAGTAAGTCAACTACTTATTTTATTTTCCCTACTGGAGAGTTCACGCCTTTATTCTTTTAGGTAACTATTTTACATCTAACTTTCACCAAATTTGATTGGCTTAGAGACAAGGCTTTTTTCYCCCTCTCAGACTAAGGAAAAATCAATTCACTTAGGAGGCAATTCTAGCAAGAGAGTCCCAAAGAAATCTAGTACAAAGCCGGTGGCCACTTGTTACCAAGTGATTCGTGCAGATTTTCCTAATCTCAGTGTCATACTTAGGACCATTTCCAAAATAGAGTCCAAATTTCAAGAAAAGAAAATAAACACAAAGCGTTACAGAATAAAAGCAACTCAAATCTGCCCAAACTCGGAGACTTCTGTGGAATGTGAAGATAAAAATACCTTGTCTGGCTTCACAGGCAAGTTCTTATCATCTCTTCAGAGCGCTCTGAAAGTACTGATCAAAAGGACCACGTCCCTGGAGAACCCTGGGAAGCCGTGCCGGGGTCACACACTGCCAGGCGAATGGGAGAGAAGTCCCCTCTCCACTGTAGGATGCAGAACAGCTTCTGCAGGACGGACTGATGCTGATGGCCAGCTTGCTCTTGGAGCCGGAAGGCTGGCCCCTCTGACCCACACGTACAGAACACAAGCTCTTCCACACTTCAGGGCACAGTCGGCAGTGCTTCTCAGGGAAATCCGAAAGGCTGGAGTCTTAACAAGAGACAGAAACAAACAAAACCTTTGTTTTACCATCTGTAATTGATTGGGAACAGTCTGTTTTTCTTTAATAGGAAGCAAAAGCCAGTTATTTGGGGGGAACCTTCTATTCAGAATGTCTCTGTGCACACACACACACACACACACACACACACACACACTTATAGTTTGTTGTTCTTGAGCCTGTTGATGACTACCTGAAGACAGAAAGGTGGTTTAGACTTATAATCCTATTGTCTGGTATAAAACAAGGCAATCTGGCACCCTGAGAACAGGGGCGCCCACTGTCTGTGCTTTGGCTCATGGTTCTACTGCCTGGTACTTTTGCCATGATATGAAAACCTTGCCATCATATAGAAACAAACAGGAATTGGGACACTCTCATGAACCACTATATAATGAAGTCCCACATACAACGGCCTCTGTTTGTAACAGATACAGTAGACGGGTGTATTCACAAAGATGAATGGGCAACCACCACGCGGGAAAAGAGGCTGCCCAAAGTGTGGACGTAGAAAAAACAGCTCACCAATACTCCACACTTCAACAGCCCCATTTCCTTCTAATTTTCCAGAAACAGCTCAGGAACTGTCCAGGAGGGCCAAAGTCCTTATCCACAAATGTTTCCCTTCTTACGATACTAATTTAAGGAAAGTTGGTTCATCACATTTTTAAAAAGAATGGTCGTTGAATTTTTTTGGAATTCATATTTGCTTTCCTTTTCAATTTGTTTCCTTTCTTGGAAAAGTGAATGGTATCATGGCCATCTTAGAGTCGACTCACAAATATGTGTCAAAATTTTTGTCTTCTTTAGACGGATTGGGAACTATGTGTCAAACCACATATGGAGAGGGTCACGTGCCTGAGCTGTTAGCTTGAGCCCAGAGCTGAGGGGTATCAATGGTGTGGTCACAGCCATGGTCAATTCATATCCTGAGGCCTCTGAGGAGGAGGTCTGGCCAGGCACAGTGGCGCACACCTGGAATCCCAGCAGCTTGGGCGGCTGAAACAGGAGGATTGTGARTTCAAAGCCAGCCTCAGCAAATGCCAGGTGCTAAGCAACTCAGTGAGACCCTGTCTCTAAACAAAATACAAAATAGGGCTGGGGATGTGGCTCAGTGGTCAAGTGCCCTTGAGTTCACTCCCCCGTACCCCCCTGCCAAAAGAGGTGTGCACAGTGTGCTGCTCCCCAGCCTTCCCTCCTCAGCAACTAGTGGTACAGAATTGGCCAAGAACAGGGTGTAAAATTAGCAATTCAGATTTAGTAAGAATGATTATTTTTCTGCAATTTGAAACAAAAAAAAAATTTTTAAAGCACACCCCTGCTTATAGACATTTGCTTCTCTTYTGTTGCAGAGCTGAAACAGAAAGGGGGTTGTCAAGGAAGCATATTATTGAAGGTGGGTACTGCTACTTTGATTTTATTTTCATATATGGGATTCTGGTTCAAGAAAAGTAGTAAACAAATAGATTCAAAACCCATTGGAAGGGGGAAATATGTATATATATAAAGAACCACAATCAGCCATGTTTGTTCCTGGATTTGCATGTGGGGGGGGCACAGGGACATAGGGAGACTGGGAGCCCCCTACCAGAAGGCAACTGTCCAGAACTCTTGTCTTGTACAAGCTTCTATCAATATAATGAAGTACTCCCATGAGACTTTTCAAAAGGCTTTATTGAGATACAACTTGCACACTATGAATGTTGATCTGTTAAAGGGTACAATTCTGGGGCTGGGGATGTGGCTCAAGCGGTAGCGCGCTCGCCTGGCATGCGTGTGGCCCGGGTTCGATCCTCAGCACCACATACAAAGATGTTGTGTCCGCCGAAAACTAAAAAATAAATATTAAAATTCTTTTTAAAAAAAAGGGTACAATTCGTTGGCTCTGAGATATGTGATAACCTTCATAACCTAAWATTGCAACATTTTCATCCATCCAAAAAGACACTTGGCACCCATGAGAAGTCACTCCACTACCTATTCACCCTCCACAGCCCAAGCAACCACAAATCCACTCTAGAGATTCAACAGACAGTTCAGGACACTTTCATCACGGGCTTCTTTCACTTAGCATGATGTTCACATACCTACCTTGTAGCATGTGTCAGTACTTCATTCTTTTTGTTTTGCCAAATAATATTTCACCATATGGGTATATTTTGTTACTTATCGGTTGATTACTTTGGGGTTGTTTTCACCTTTCGGCTCTTATGAATAATGTGGCTGTGATGATRGGTGTACAAGTTTTAGTGTGAACACATATTAGAACTACTTTTAAGAAGGCATATACACAGCCATAGGGAAAACTTGTAGAAAATTACCACTGGTATTTGAGTCACARTGCCATTGCTTTTGCAATGGTATCCAAAACTCCACATTGTTTATAAATAAGCAGGAAATAAACAGTCTGCAAGGACCATGGTGTGGTGCAGTAATATTGTTCTACCTCATGGTGGGGACTGTGAGAGTTTGGAATGGTTTTTATTTATTGTTTGTCTATACATTAAAAATTTTTATACTTATACTTTTTGCAATCATAAAAAAGTGTTTAAAGAGGCTGCCTCATATTTTCAATCTTTATACCAGTTTATAAACTATTTCATARAAATCCAAGCTTTTTTGTTAACTTTACATGCACCATGAATCATTGAGACTGACGATTTTCTCCTTCTTTAGAAATAATTTCATCTAAGCAATACCAACACCACCCAAACCAAAATGTACTTTAATCACAAAACTTTAAAAATAAAAATAAAGAATGGGAGTCCTCCTGTCTTATTTCATCTCTCCATAGTTTAACAATCTAGTGTAAGAGTTTAACAGATCTCCCTTAGTTATGCAGCCTCCTTTCTCTACCCATCGATCTGTATACTCACTTGTGTTTAAAAATATAGAAATATGTGTATTAATGCAGTAGAATCAGGCTATGAATATTAGTCTACACCTTGTTTATTCTCGATTAAATTATATTCTACACACACACACACACACACACACACASGTGACAGACATTTCCAGTCTTCAGTATTTCCAAGGGTTATAAGTGACCTTCTTGCCATAGTGAGGATAAGTCTAGATGGGGCATTATTAGGCCAAGGATCAAGGCATGTTCTACCACAAAATTATTTTCTAAAATGAATATGTCAATCAATTGAATGAGCTGTTTTCATTTACTTGCTTATCCATGCACTCATTTATTGTGAGTCTAAGCTCATTTCGTAACTTCTTTCCCTGAAGATCAGCTCTTCACRTCCTTGGGTCCTTTGCCTTCTGAGAGTTTGGCTGGCTCTTGCTAGCCTGCAAAAGCTCTCTATGCATGAGTGATGTCACTCTTTGTTGATCCTGTGAGTGGYAAATACTTTTCCCCAGGATCTCCTTTCAGCAGTGACCCTTTTCTCCCCGTGCACTTAATCTAAAAGAGAACGTTTTATGTGAGGATACTCATTCCAGTTTGGAAGGTGGAGATTCTTACTGACCTGTGAATGTGACTACTTTGAGATGTTTTAGAATAGCAGTAAAAAAAATAAATAAATAAATAACTCCAGTATTCAGTCAGGGAGACCTTTTTAGGATTAATTTTTATTGATGCATTATGATCTTACACACTAGTAGGGTTCRCTGTGCTGTTTGTAAGTGAACACCACATAATTTGGACAATTTCATCCCACGATACCTGTCCTTTCCCTCCCCCTGGATCCTGTCTTCTGCTTCTAACTGTCTCCCTTCTAATTTCATGAAATTCTCCAACTCCCCCCACCTTTTTTTCTTTCTTGTACCTTCCACATAGGAGAGAAAGTGTATGACCCTTGACTTTCTGAGTCTGGTTTCTTTCACTAAACATAATGCTCTCAAGTTCCATCCTAAAATGGAGAATTTTGAAATCAGATCTCAGAACACACACACACACACACACACACACACACACACTTTTAACAATAATAATTATATCATTCCATTGTTTCCAAGTTTTGCTATGAGCCTGGCATTTCTCACTGGCTCGTTTTTATTCTGCTTGTAGGCATGTGGGTTTTGAAATCAGACCCGTCCTGGTTCTGACAGTCATTTCTGAGCTGGATGACTGTGTGCTGACCAGACCTCACTAAGCCCCTGTTCCTGTCCCCTTGACTGTAAAACAGCCCACAGATGTTCCTTCCTCACAACATTACTAGTGGGGATGGAAATCAGCTAATCCTCCTGGAGCACAGTTTCTGCTGTGTCATGAACAATAAATGTCATTTCTGTCCTCACCGGTGCCACTGTTCCCATAAGTGTGGCMGCTAGCCTGCTCTTTATGGACAAGAACACAAAGCAGGTTCCCGTGAACCACCACCTCCTGCCCCCAGGACACTCCCCAACACCTCTCCCAAGCAGAATCCCCTCCCAGGCAGAGTCCAGGCTGACACCGAAGCCCACCCAAGGCTGCCTCTGCACAGGCACGCTCCTGCTCCAGCGCAGGCCAGAATCCTGCCCTGTGCCAGGGAGTCCTCAGCAGAAACAGCAGGTGCCACCTTGAAGTTCCCAGTGGAACCAACAGTAGGCTGTCTGGAAGTTTCTGGCTTTTCTTTTTAATCTAATTAATTATAAAAGAGAGAGAYTCGGTATAACCAGAGAAGTGAAAATCTGTGGTCCAATTAATGAACCTTAGAAACATTATCCTAAGTGGAAGAAGTCAGGCATAAAAGGCCACATATTACATGATTTCTTTTATATAAAATATCTAGAATAGGGATTGARATAGAAATCAGATTAATGGTTTCCAGGGACTGGGTGGAGTAAGGAATGAGCAGTGACTACTTAATGACTATGAGACTTCTTTTTGTAGTAATGATGATGTTCTAGAATTAAATAAAAGTGATGATCACACATCCTTGTGAATATGCTAAAACCACTGTATACTTTGAATTGTTGAATTTTATGGCTTATGAATTATATATCAATTAAATATTTAGCATTTTGCCTAAAGATGTCTTTGAGGAAAAAAAATTAAAACCTACTCTGAGTAAATCAGACAAAAAATGCATGGAAACAATACAAAATTTTATTTCTTACCTTGTTGCTGAGTGTCTCTGTGATACTTTAAGCTTCCCAGATAATTTTTCACAAGCTATAGCAGCTTGAAAGTATAAGRGTCCACTTAGGATATTGGCTCATTTCCAAACTAATGTAGATAGTGTCAACCTTTTCTGCTTCTTTTATAACAGAAATGATCAAGACTGYCTCATTTCTGGAAGGGGTAGTAGGGAAAAGACTTCAGTGGCAGTATACCTCCAAGGTCAACTGAGACAACACCTCAGCCTTAAGGTTAAGCGACATTTGATTTCAGCTGTAATTGTTTATCTGTTTACCTCCATTTGATAAAATTTCCCACTTGGGATGATACAAAAGCTTATTTATTCATTGTACACACCATTAAAGTTTGTATGTTTGATATGCAAAAAAAAAAGAAAATCTGTGGTCCATTTGTGTATRATGAATTGATGAATTGAAGAGCATCCTGCTTTCATGTAAAACTGATTAGAACAAATTTTAAAAAAAAAAAAATAAGTAAAAAAAAAAAAAGAAAGAAAGGGGGAGAGATTCAGAAAATGGCTCACTCTGGACTCAAAAAGAATTATAAAATCAAACAGAAAGAGAATAGAGATGCATTGCTACTGTCATCTCCATCGGATCTCCATGCTTTGACATTTCCCAGTGTGAGTGCGTAATTTCAGAATTCACTTCTTTTAAATCAGTTTTCTTCAAGCCTCACACAACTTAATAGAAGTACCTTAAATTTCTTCTTCTAAACCAGTTCAGTTGGAATCCAAACTGACCCAGATTCGAACTTCAACATAAGACTTCACACTTTTGAGACTGAGATCACTTATTACGATGTTGCTAATGTTGGTGTTATTTTGAAGTTCATAGTTTCAGCCAAAGACAAGAGCTCATGAGTATAATTTCAGTCTAGGCAGACAGAAATTAGAGAATTAAGTGAATTTTTCAGAAAAGCYGAGACATGAGATTTCTAAACCAAAATAAAATTTGAAGAGGTTTACACATAATTATCCTTGGAATTCATTGCTATTTTTTCTGTGATGAAAGGGACCTTATTTATCATTGGAGACTCTTCTGCACATTAAATTTGAGAAGCACTGTTAGAAGATAAGGCAAAGTCCAATTCATGTAGGATTCAGGCTACTTGCAGGCTGGGTGGCCTTGGCCACCTGAGTTAGTTTACAGAGTATAAAATCAGCTTGACTTGTGCACAAGGTAGTTTTGAAAATGTTCATATGAGAGGTCTTTTCAATGAGCCCAAATTCTTTGATTGAGATCAGCTGGTGTAATGTTCTCTTTAGATTCACAGAAAGAGGGAAGAAATCTCATCAGCAGCTCATTACCTCCATTTACAACCCC